TACGTACGTACTACGTACTACTACGTACTACGTACTACTACTACGTACGTACGTACTACTCTACTACTACTACTACTCTACTACTACTACTCTACTACTCTCTCTCTCTCTCTCTCTCTCTCTCTCTCTCTCTCTCTCTCTCTCTCTCTCTCTCTCTCTCTCTCTCTCTCTCTCTCTGTGTGTGCATGTGTTTGACATTGAAACATACCCACTTCATGTTCATGCTCTAAATGGATGCATGCATGCACATGTCTGAATGCGTGCTCGCTTTTCATACCTCGACTATCTCTCGATCGACCGACACTGAACATACATAAGAGAGAAAAAGTTATGGGTTAGTACAAAATGGCATGGGGATTCCCTGTTTTCACTGGACATACATTCATATCTTTTCACCTACTGCTAGTGTAGTCCATAGGTCTATATGCTAGATCTAACACCCCACCACCTTAAAGAAAAGCAAATAGGCGACAAACTTAAGAAGCAATAAAGACAAACAAGGCTTTGGAGATGTACTAGGTTGTCTATTACCAACAGGCAAAGCCATAGTTGAGGTGAAAGGTGACAGTTTATAACAAAGCCCAGCCTAGTTCAACTATTTAAGCTGGAATTGATTGCAGTCGCTGAGCACATGTCATGGGAGCCTTTCGAATATATATTTGTGCGTATTGAAACATCCACATAACTTGATTTCTAGCTCCTCTTCCAAGCCTTCCAATATGTGCAACCACAAATCCCATGAAGATGAGCCACTCTTTTCTAGTATCAGTATCAGCCTGACCACAAAGGAAAAGGGGAGAGAGTATAGAGAAAAAACAGAGGATGCAGCAGCATGGCCGTCCCCTAGAGAGGTAAACCCGATTGCCATATCAACCCTTTCACTGCTTCATTTTTTTTTTTCTTCTCTGAATGTTCAGTAGCCCATGAAGACCCAAATCCGAGAGAACAGGATTCCTGCTGGCAAGTCTGGCACGATTCCTGCTCGCAAGTCCCGATCTCTCTCTCTCTCTCACACACACAAAACATGTATTTCTGGTTCTTACCTTTTGGTTCCTGCCTTATAGGCATAATATCCATCACTACAAACTCTATTGATTTGGGCTGGTTCGCAGTCTGGCTTCAATTAGACGCCAATAAATATGAGTCTGCGCAGCAGTTATGCCAATATACGAACAAATGAAGCAGTTTCTCTCTCTCTATCCTAATGCTTTAACTGGTGTGGATGGTGCAGGTGGTGGAGGAGCTGAGGTCTCTAGGTGGTATAGCAGGTCCCATGGTGATGACAAGCCTGCTTTTATACTCAAGGTCCGTGATATCAATGTTGTTCTTGGGTCACCTAGGAGAGACTGAACTAGCTGGTGCATCTCTCTCCATGGGTTTTGCCAACATAACTGGTTACTCGGTCATATCAGGCTTGGCCTTGGGAATGGAACCCATTTGTGGCCAAGCCTATGGGGCCAAAAGATGCAGCCTTCTAAGCCTAGCCCTTCAAAGAACCTTCTTGTTACTCTTAATTGCCACCATACCCATATCTATACTATGGCTAAATATGGAACCAATCCTCTTGTGGTTAGGCCAAGACCACACCATAACAGGCATAGCCTCCACTTTCATTGCCTTCTCTCTACCTGACCTATTGGCCCAAGCTTTCCTCCAACCCCTAAGAATCTTTCTAAGGACCCAGAACCTCATAAAGCCTCTAATCCATGGGGCCACATTTGCATTGATCCTTCACATACCCACCAACTACTTTTTAGTCATTTATCTAAAACTAGGGATCAGAGGTGTCGCCTTAGCAGCATCCTCTGGTAGCTTCAACATGGTGTTTTACTTGTTGGCCTACTTAGCCTTCACTAAATCAGCACTCAAGCCATGGGAAAACTTGACTAGAGAATGTCTGCAAGGTTGGAAACCTCTGCTGTATTTATCGTTGCCAAGCGCTGCCTCTGTGTGCTTGGAATGGTGGTGGTACGAGCTGATGATAATACTCTGTGGCCTACTGAGCAACCCGCGAGCCTCAGTTGCTTCAATGGGGATCCTCATCCAAACCACTGCCTTGATATATGTCTTTCCATCTTCAATAAGTTTAGCAGTTTCGACAAGAGTGGGGCACGAGTTGGGGGCAAACCAACCAGATAAGGCTCGAAGGGCAACCGTAGTTGCCATGGTCAGTGGAGCAATGATGGGCTTTCTGGCCCTACTTTTCACGCTCTCAATGAGCCATTTTTGGGCTAAGATGTTCACAAACGACGCTGAAATTCTTCTGTTAACATCTATCACATTGCCTATTGTTGGACTTTGTGAGTTAGGTAATTGTCCACAAACAACAGGTTGTGGGGTACTAAGGGGAAGTGCTAGACCATCTATTGGGGCAAATATAAACTTGGGCTCCTTTTATCTTATCGGAATGCCGGTTTCTATACTCATGGGGTTCGGCTTCAAACTCGGTTTCGTCGGATTATGGTTAGGGCTGGCTGCTGCTCAAGGTTCTTGTGTTGCATTGATGCTCTATACTGTGTTTAACACTGACTGGAAATGCCAAGCCAAGAGAGCAAAGCTGCTCATAGCTGAAGATGGGGTGGCGAATGATTTGGAAGCCACTCTTCTCGTTCATTAGAGAAGAGGGTCTTGACTCCCAACAAGTTGGGTCTTTCATGAGGGACCCACATGCTAACCCTGTACTAAAACTCCCCCTTGTAAGCCTTCCAATTTTTGTACACTGGTTAACCAATCAGCAAATGGCACATCCATTTTGCACAAAATGTTAAAAAAAAAAAAATAAAAAAAAAATTAAGGTCAGTGAAATTGAGAAGGGATTTGCAAAGGGTAAAAATGGCATGAAAAGGGTAAAAAACAAAAGGAACTTTACCATATAAGACAAATAATTGTTATCTAAATCAATTTAAGAAAGAATATTTTTGTAAGTCTGTAAAATTGAACGTGGTTGGGTTCAATTAAATGAAATATGCAGAATTGAGTTTGCTCTATGGTTAGGAGAGCGTTGCAACAATAACGACTTCTGATCCATGAAAAATAATGACCAGGAGAAGTAAGGCTCATCAATTTTCTATTCCATTAGATAGAGAAGGCCAGAATCCTTTGGAGTAGCATAGGAAGCATAACTACCTCACTGAATAAACATCTATATCAATCCATAGTTCACTAACACAAAAACTTCAGCTGATGAGCTCCCAGGTCAGGTTAACGTGTCTCAAACCCAGTTCATTGGATCAACTAAACAATAAGAAAAATAATAAAAAACCATCAACTATCATTTAAAAAGAATCAACAAAAGTGTGTATATGGAGTAACTTCTATACGCCTAAGGTATGATGCTATAGTACACGTCCAACAGTCCAAATTGAATCTAGACCGATCAGACAGTCATGATTGTATTTTTTATTTGAATTTTAATCTTTTTTATATAAATTCAAATCATTCAAAATTTGGAGGGTCCATTCTTCTCATTAAGGCACACCGAATAAAAAAATAAAAAATTATTTCCAAAACTAAATCGACCAAAATACCCCTAAAGGTTTCAGGGCAGTTTGGTCAATTTATGTTTGGTGAACTATTTTTAAAATATTTTTATTACGAGTGCCTAATTTTCAAGAGTAGACGTTCCAAATTTGAAGCACTTTGGATTTAAAAAAAAAAAAAATCAAAACTCAAAGATAAAACACAATTATGGGCATCCGATTGACCTCCATTCAATCTGGGCCATTCAATGTTTCCTATTGTATCAGCTTAGGCTGACAAAATCTTTTTCCGATATATATATATATATATATATTGTATACTATAAGGCCATTCATTTTTGGTACAAGGTCATAATCAATTCTTAGCCATTGGATGTGAATTGAATGAATTGAACTGCGTGACAACATTCGAGAAATTTTATTTTGGACTTTGTGTTTAGTCAATATCATATACCCAACGACCTGATTTCACATATAACGGTCAATAATACTTGCAATCTCCTTATACCAAAAGTGTACCATCTTAATTTACATATTTCCATATATATATATATATATATATATATATATATATAG